GAGGAGGGGGGAGAGAGAGCAGAGGAGGAGTAGGTGCTGAAGTACGTGCCAGGCGGGAGCGGATGTGAACTCAAAGCGAATGGTCGGAGCGATTTTGAGCACACCCCTGCATCAAGCCATCTTCTTTGGAAATGTAATCCACTCCCTCCCTCTCTGAGTTCTCAAGTTTTCTCGAATCTCTGTCCCCTTGTGTCTTACACATGCTCGCTCTTGTCCTGACACAATCTCTCTCCCCGCTCTCTCTTCTCATCTTAGCATCTTGTTCTTGCTCGTCTCCTTGCGCACAACGCAAACATTAAGGTTGTTGTCACTTGAACACGAGCTGGATGTTCAGCTGGGGGCTGCAGATGGTGGACGAGTATGGGGCGACTCCTCTACATCATGCGGCAGCACGAGGGGACAGGTGAGGACGAGGACGAGGACGAGGACGAGGACGAGGACGAGGATGAGGACGAGCGATGAAGGAAGAAGAATGCTCTCCAGCTGATGATGATGCAGCCAAGCAGTTCTGACTCTCCTGGACTCCGGGGCATCGGTAAAACACTTGAAAAGGGAGGTGGGAGAGAAGTGAGTTGGAGGCAGTTGGAGGCCAAGACGAGCATGGGGTTTACTGCCTTGCACTTGGCTGCTCAAGCCTGCAGCCAGGAGTGCATGCACAGCCTGATCAGCAAGGGCGCTGACGTCAACGCCCTTGACCATGTTCGAACCTCACCCCTCCACATCGCCGTGCAGCTGGAGTCTCCTGCCTGCGTCCAGCAGCTCTTGCTAGCAGGTGAAGTTGATGAGGAAGGGACGAGCAGGAGCAGGATCAGCAGGGTAATCTGAGCGTGTAGGAGCCAACTTGAGGGTGAAGACTATCGACGGCACCACTCCGATAGACTTGGCGAGCCAGCAGCAGGACAAGAAGCTCTACAACCAGCTGAGGTCAGTCGCTCGCCCTGCTCAAGTGGCTGAGAATGGGAGCAGGAAGATTCTGAGCCTGCAGGAGGAAGGCAAGCTCAAAGACGAGCACTTGGCGATCCGCGTGCTTGTCAGCGTCTGCCAGCAGCTGACGGCGGAGGAAGCAGAGCTGCAGGACAACCTGCTGAAGTCACTAGGGGGTCAGAGAGGCTTGACGAAGCGAGGAGACAGTGCGGGTGCTGCTGATGCTGCTGCTGCTGGGGAGGAGACGAAGTCGAGTGCGGCAAAGCAGGAGGAGGAGGAGAGGCAGCAGGAGAAGAACGAAAGCTCTGAGAGCTCGTCGGAGTCTGAGGAGGAAACCAAATCCTCCTCCCCCTCCTCTTTGGCATCGCAGCAGGTGACAAGCGAGTATTGAGGTTCGAGTGGATCCTGAGTTTCTTGCAGAAGGAGAATGAAGAGGAAGGGGAAAAATTTATGGATAGCGACGAGCTGTTCCCCAAGCTCGCCGTGTAGCTCAAGCTCCTCATCCCTTCCTCGACTGATTCTCCCGTTAAAATTCTTCGATCTAGTCGAGTAATTCTTCCCTCCTCATCCTGCTCCGCTCAAACCTGCCACGTTTTAACCGCCACCCCCGTCGCCTCTCCTCTCTCACAGTCTCGTCAACTTCTCCGCGCTGGAAGTCTTGCTGGGGGGAACACCAACGATGACATCGTTCTTGGTGCTCAGCTCAGGGAGCAGCAACTTGAAGCTGAGGAGCCACAGATCAACTCCTCCTCCTCCTCCTCCTCCTCCTCCTCCTCCTCCTCCTCCTCCTCCTCCTCCTCCTCCTCTCGCTGCTGCTCCTGCAGCTGCCACTGCTGCTCCTGCTGCCACTCGATGCCCTCCTTCATCCTCTCCTCCCATCTTCCCGCCCCTCGTACTGACAGGAGCGTGACGTAGCCAT